GGTTTACAGGTCAAACATCTTAGACCTTTTGATCCACAATGCTTGTATTTCTCTCGATTGTTATAGCCATGGTCACATTTCTCACAATAATAACGGTATCACAGGATCCGGTGATACTGGTAATGGTATGGAAATGTTCATCGTGATGATAGACGTGAATGTATTTTCCGTCTTTGAATTTTTGCCTCGAACCAACAAAGGTTTCCGCACTTCTTGACCGTGTACGTTCAAGGTGTAGCGTGGAGCTAAGACGTATTGCATTGTTTGCATTTCAGGAATGCCACAGGCAGTGTCTTTGGATAGCCCCGCTTTTTGTAACAGCAATTCTGCTTCCCTTTGTTGTTTGGCTCTATTCCATTTAATACTATTTTTACAGGTTCTACGGCGATGGCACAGGGTAAACACATTGTCTTGAGGGTTGCTAATTTGGAAGAGGCTACGAAGTCGGAGGAAGAGAAGAAGATCCGTGCGATGCCCTCTTTTTTTAACTGAATGGTGTTAACAAAAAAGAAACAACAAAAACAAAAATACTAAACAAATGCCCTTTCCAGGGCCACTCCATTGTCTCGACAATATATCTGTTTTTTCTTGCCTAAAATTCTCTTATAGTCGATTGTTTTGTGAATTAGATATATGTTAATAAATCTGTATAATAAGTCTATGTCTATATCTATGTCTCTAATCAGATCGCTATGTCAATGTCACTACGTCTATGTCTCTATGTCTATGTCTCTATTGTTCCTAGAGTAAAGCGTATTCAGGTCAACCATTTGTAATTCTGTTCCGCCCTACTGAGGTCAGCCTCTTGCAACATTCTTGCCATTACATCCATAGTGTTCAGAACAATGTCGTGACCTCTGTTAACACGCTTTATGTCCCTATAGTGCCGGTATCCTGTCTGTAATGCTAATTCCCATTGTCCCTATAAATCTTATCACTATACGGCCGAGACACATTTTAGAATGGAAGTCCCATTGTCCCCCTATCGCCCTCTCTCACTACTATTTTATGATAGTAAAGTAGTCATATAGGACACTGTAATGAAGGTTACATTAATGCATTCCAAGATATACGTTCTTAAATTTTGGTCGTAAAAGTTTCATAAATTTAAGTTTAAACCTTTAAAATATATAAACCTTCTAATCTAAGACAACGATCAATTTGCACTACAGGCTGACGGTTGTTTATGAATTTGATATTTAAGGCAGTTATCCGATGTATCTGATAAACATTGAAAACGACATAAAAACATTTGAGCTATCACTAAAAGGTGTCATTTTCAAACATAACATATTTAAAAAAAAACACGCGCTCGTTTCGCCATTTAAGCATAAATAAACGCTTGCATCCATTCATTTTGTACAATAGTAAACTTTAACATTTCGCTACTGGGAAGGTGCTACTACGTATTTGTGGTTGGTTTCATTGCATTCAACACGTACCTGAAACAGTAGATGCGGTAGGTGTTTGAAAAGTTATTTAAATTTCAATAACATGTTGTTGTTTTTTTTAAAAATTCCTTTCGTTCTTAATCACTTTTATTATGGATCTAAGTATACGCTTTTATGCTTACGGATGCAGTCATGGTATATGTTTATACTTAGATGGATGCAGGCATGATCTATGTTTATACGTGTATGGATGTATATGTTTACATGCAGAGCAGATGGTGCAGGAATGGTGTATGTTTATAAGTGGATGGTGCATGCATTGTGTATGTTTATACGCGGATGGATGCAGGCACGGTGTATGTTTATAAGGGGATGGATACAGGCATGGTATATGTTTATACGTGTATGGATGGGGGCATTGTATATGTTTATACGTAGATGGTGCAGGCATGTTGTATGTTTATACGTGGATGGTGCAGGCATGGTATATGTTTATACTTGGATGGTGCAGGCATGGTGTATGTTTATACGCAGATTGTGCAGGCATGGTATATGTTTATATGCAGATAGTGCAGGGATGGTGTATGTTTATAAGGGAATGGATGCAGGCATGGAATATGTTTATACAAAGATGGTTGGAGGCGGTATATGTTTATACGCAGATGGTGCAGGCATGGTATATGTTTATACGCAGATGGTTCAGGCATGGTGTATGTTTATTAGAGAATGGATGCAGGCATGGTATATGTTTATACTTGGATGGATGGGGGCATTGTATATGTTTATACGCAGATGGTGCAGGCATGGTGTATATTTATAAGTGAATGGATGCTGGCAAGGTATATGTTTATACTTGGATGGATGGGGGCATTGTATATGTTTATACGCAGATGGTGCAGGCATGGTATATGTTTATGCGTGGATGGATGCAAGCTTGGTATATGTTTATAAGGGGATGGATGCAGACAAGGTATATGTTTATACTTGGATGGATGAGGGCATTGTATATGTTTATACGCAGATGGTGCAGGCATGGTGTATATTTATAAGTGAATGGATGCTGGCAAGGTATATGTTTATACTTGGATGGATGGGGGCATTGTATATGTTTATACGCAGATGGTGCAGGCATGGTGTATGTTTATACGCGGATGGATGCAGGCATGGTATATGTTTATAAGGGGATGGATATAGGCATGGTATATGTTTATACGTGTATGGAAATGGGCATTATATATGTTTATACGCAGATGGTGCAGGCATGGTGTATGTTTATAAGTGATTGGATGCAGGCATGGTATATATTTATACTTGGATGGATGGGGGCATGGTATATGTTTATACGCAGATTGTGCATGCATGGTAGATGTTTATACTTGGATGGATGGAGACATGGTATATTTTTTACGCCGATGGATGCATACGTTTATAAGGGGATGGATGCAACCATGGTATATGCTTATACGCAGATGGATGGAGGCATGATATATGTTTTTATGTGGATGATGCATGTATGGTATATGTTTTTACGCGAATGGATTCAAGCGTGGTATATGTTTATAAGGGGATGGATGCAAGCGCGGTATATGTTTATACGCTGATGAATACATGCATGCATGGTATAGGTTTTTACGCAGATGGATGCCAGCCTAGGGTAAGTTTATACGCGGTTGATTGCAGGTATTGTATATGTTTTACGTGAATGGATGAAGGCATGGTATATGTTTATACATGGATGGATGCAGGCATGTTATATCTTAATATGCGATGGAAGCAGGCATTATATATCTTTGTACACGGATGGATGCAAGCGTGGTATGTATTTATAATCGTTTAGAGAAAGGATTTAATGCATTTTTGAGAAATGCTTTTGTTTGAATGTAACACATATAGGCATGTTTTGTATTAAAGACATTAATGCCTGTTTCTATAAAACGCATTGATGCTTGCTTTGTATAAAACACATTAATACACGTTTCCAATATAGCACATTAACGTCTATTTGTTTAATCTTCACAGCTTTTTATGTATCATTTTTGATAATGATGATAATAACAGGCATTTCATTTTATGACCATAAGGGTTTTAAAGCGCAATAGTCGTAGTAAGTTCTATTTTAGCCTCCACATATATGACCTGTTGATTAATTAAAACTTCTTTATACTTTGTATTAAACATGTTTCTGTAGACTTAATGCATATTTTGCGCATATTGACGCTCTTAAAAGAAAAAAGACCTTGTAAATTTAATAAAAATGTAAATATATGATGTAGGATTTTATTTCCAATTAATAAGAAATTATGTATGGTATACATACTTTCTTAAAACTCTTTCATTGCAAAACAACGTGATGCTAATGTTTGAAGCAATTGTACATTGCGCTACAGGACAACAATAGAAAGATCCGGCTTTGAAGCTCAGATTCAACGTCTTTGATCTGATTTTGAAAAGGCTTGGAAAACGGCATGGAATAACTGTACGGATCTCCTACCAAAGATTATTCATAGATTTCAGGAAAAGTCCACCATATTCGTTTAGCTGACTGAGTAATATAAACTATCAGCCCAAAATATAGTGCCTTCATGCAGTGACCACACACACACACACACACACATACACACACATAAACATACATACATACATACATACATACATACATACATACATACATACATACATACATACATACATACATACATACATGCATGCATGCATGCATGCATGCATGCATGCATGCATGCATGCATGCATGCATGCATACATACATACATACATACATACATACATACATACATACATACATACATACATACATACATACATACATACATAAATGGGGGCCCCCGAGTGCCCGAGTGGTCTAAAGCCCTGTCCGTTACGGATCACTGCCATCTCACCTCAGTCTGCGTGTGTTCGAGTCTAGGATTCGGCGAATGTGGATATGTGAGAAAGCTTGTCAGTAGCTTCTCGTGGGTCGGTGGTTCTTTCCGGTGATTTCCCGGTTTCTTCCTCCACCATTAATACTGGCCGCCATGAATAGCCTATCGAGTGCTGAAAAATGGCGTTAAGCCCAACAACAACAACAACAACTTACATATATATATATATATATATATATATATATATATATATATATATATATATATATATATATATATATATATATATATATATATATATATATATATATATGTATGTATGTATGTGTGAAAAGGTGACACGGATCATGCATAGACGTTTAGGAAGTAATATAAGAATATGGATGTCTCTCAAAATAGACCATACCATATGCAGTTATCAATATTTGTGAAAGATACTTTGTTGTCATGAAGATAGTAGATTACGGCAATTATTAATATCTTTGTGATGTCAGGATGTGATGTGATTATGATTTTTTAAAGTAGCTTTAACAATTTTTCAGTCATATCGCTACGATGTCTGCAGTGTGGCAGTTTTATAGTGATGTTTAGCACTGGGGCATCATGCCGCAGACACGTAGCAGGATGTCCCACCCAATCACATTAGCCTGACACCAAGCCGACCATTCCTAACACTAACTATGAGCGTCAAGAGCGGCAGCTGTTAATACATTTTTGTAAGTCTTTGGCATGACTCTAGCTGGGATCGAACCCACGACCATGACCTCCCGCATCCGAGACGGACGCTCTAACCACTGGGTTACGGGAGCGGTTAAAAGAATATTTTTGTATAATTGGGTCCATAACATATATACCTATACAACTGTGACATATAATCATAAATCCTCAATAGCAGTTGTCTTGATCACAGACAAAATGGACCGGACTCTACAGTCTTGGTGTATTTCTAAGGTAGTACATTAGTGAATAGCAGTTGGGGATCTGTCTAGTACACGTATATCGCCTTTTTCTACTGTTATATTAGTGTGTCATCGGAGAGTCAGCCGATAAAGCTAAAATACTTTATACAATATGTGCCTCAAAAAAGAGATTCTGGCAGTCAAAATCCAAGCAGTAAAATTGTTTAACCAGATCCTTTTATACATGCCTGTTATCTCAAAAGTATAAGCTTTTAAAGCAAATAAATCGGATTTTACTAGAAACTTAATCTTTGGAATTTGTAATTGCGTTCAAGTAGAGGTTATGTAAAAGTTTATGATAGCAGGGTAGTCACGACTGACTATCTCGTGAAGGCATGATATATACCTTCAAAGTGTTTTAGCCGTAAATTAAAGATTAAACCTTCAAAACGTATACACCCGCTAATTTAAGGTAACAATCGTTTTTCCCTAAACGCTCACAAACGTTGAATTTGTTATAAAAATACAATTAGCCAAAGACGCCTCATAGACGGTTTTATTATCACCTTCTGTACCAGAGTAAGTCTTAAGATGTGCCTTCTGAAGAAACTTTTGGCTTTAGCAGTTGAAGAAAGGGATCTAGGTCTGGGTTAAATTCAATAACGTGCAGCCTTTACATTTTTTTTTTAATAAAAAAATATTCCTTTCGTTCCAATCGCTTATGTCATGGATCTAATTTTTGTATCATGAATGGATGCATGCGTCTATTTATATGCGGATGGCGAAAGGATTGCATGTTTCTTGAAAAAAATTGTTTTGAAAATAGCACCTTTTAGTTATAGGTTAAATGTTTTTTACGTCGCTTTCTATGACATTTGACGTACCTCTTTTAATGTTATGACATAAAAGGTTTAAAAGGTAATAACTTAATACAAATAATACCATCATTTTTTGGTGATGCGTGCTTAGTCGTGACGGAATATGGGCTAGTGTGTGCTAGCAAGGCGATGTGTGCCATTTACTCGGGAACCTGGGTTCGAAACTCTGTAGAGTATTAATTATAAATCTCTAACCTGTATAATAGTATTATATTATCAGTAAATCGTAAATTCTAGTCCTCCCAGTACTCTGCTGACCGTTGTTCAAACATTGGGCAAATAATGTGTACTTTAGTGTGGGTATAGTGCATGTGCGATATGATGATCCAATGTTTATATCCTGGAAAAATTCTTTTTTGGTCGATCATTGCAGGGGCGTATGTGGCTTTTCTACTCTACATTAGAACCTTATATGGCAATCATAAGCACAGATATTCGATAGCAGTGAACTACCACAGACTACTGGAAACATATTTCATTGATATTCGCTTACAGTGAATTACCACAGATTACAGGAAACATGTTGCATTGATACGAGAACATTATGCATGTAAGCAACATTATAGACTGCCTTACGTTTATTTTGCAACAGCGGAGGTAGATATATACTGTATCAAATGACCCTTCAAAAGACAGAAGTGCAAATGAATAAATACGAAATCACTTGCTTATATCAGAACAATTAACATCCATGACATAATACGCTGTACTTGTCCAAAATATATCCGTATATATCCGTATATTTATAAAGTGCATAAAAATCTAATCATATGGCATAACTGAGAAATCTGTAGCAAATAGCATTCCCTATGAGGGTAAACGGATGTAAGCACTTCACTGTCTTTAAGATACATCTACAACAGTTTTTGAGAAAGCTTGTCAGTAGCTTATCGTGGATCGGTGGTTCTTTCCGCGGATTTCCTGGTTTCTTCCTACACCATTAATACTGGCCCCAATGTATAGCCTATAATGTGCTGAAAAATGGCGTTAAACCACACAACAACAACATCTACAACAGTTTCTATTTTCATTCATAAATTATCAACAATGTCTTATAAATGGACTACCCTTGAACATGTGGGAATACTTCTGAAGATCCCTTATCAACGAAGTGGTTGAAATTTCCTTGCACGGTGTTTGAAGACTGCCACTGTTTAAATTGCCATTTAAAATTTATATTTCTGACATTTTAACTGGAAAGATCTACGTCAAGCCAGAAAGGTATATCGAAAAGGTAAATCCAAGTGATGCATTTGCATGTGGAGTGAAGATAATCTAAGTTTGATTAAGGGCAAGAAAAATATGTTGTCATCATATGTTTATCCTGCACCATCACCAACATCATCTAATTCGGTAGCATCTTTTGAAACAGCATATGCAAGACATACCGCCACTAACTATATTGTCAAACACCAGATGCAAGTTATCCTGCTAATAAATATATGATACGAAACAGTGAAGAAGGAGGAAATTATTTATGAAGAACACATAAATAAATTAGTCGCAGTTAACACTCTTAACTCATTAGGATCTGGCTTTTATTTCGTTCTTTTAGCATAGTTAGTTCCGTTCAATCATTGCAGCATGCTATTACCTAACCATGTTTACGAAGATCTCCCTTACAGATGTTGTAACCTTGTTGAGTTACCGGAACGAACGTTTGGAGACTACGTGTATCACATACAAGTAATAAGACTGTATTTGTCATACTAATGAACAAAGTGTATCTTATACCTCAAAAGCAAGAGTAGATTTTTTTGTATTCAGGAGGTGGAAATTGCATGTAACGATAAAAGTGAAATGGCCAGAGGAGGTTTTGAAAAAAAATATCATCTGTTTTGTGCTAACTATTTGATTCAACCAACACTTTATTCATTGGTCTGATACACTATTAACTTCATTTTTGACAGGGTCCAGAACAAATTATCAATATGCTGTCCTTAAGAAGAACTAACAAATAACTCAAATTAAATATTCCTAACAATATCATGTTTGTTACATCACTTTGTTCGTCATATCAGGTTGTTCGTCACATCACAGGTTCCTTACATCAACATGACGATGCTTTAATTAGAATCCTTTTCGCATAAGGTTGTGAAAACGCAAGCTTCCTCTTTTTAAGTGTTGTCTTCAATGCTTTTATTATACTTCCCAAACAAATATACAACCATCACAATGATTTATTGAATATCTTTCCATGATAAACAGGGACATTGTTGTGGAATATTTTTTCTGTATTGCAACGTCTCTTTTAGACGGATTTTAGGATGTTGTATCGTGGCCGAAACCTTTGCAACAAAAAGCAAAAACATTTTGCAAAAGCGGATGTAACTGATTTTTGACATTGGTTGTGTGACAACGTTTGAAAGGGAATGCACTGTTTCACTGTATACCATCCAATTATTAATACATATAGTTCAGTGTTTCTTGCTTTCTTTTATCTTCATTTGCTTTTAAAGTCATAATGTCATGATCTTCGTGAAATACTAGTTATATAAATTATGCTCTACCTGGAGTTTTATTTACTTAACAAATATTTTGAATTTGTTTCATTCTAAATTAATTTCAACAAAATAATTAGTTTGCTTGTGTACTATAAAACACTCATCCTATAGTTTTCATGCACCTTAATATATAACATGCATGCAAAAACAGAATGTACCTATAATTATCACATAGTTGTTAAATTTGCAATACTTTCACAAAAAGGTTACCCAATACAATGCACTCGATTTCAGATTATCTATTTTAGTAATTGTGGTATTAATAATCAAACACGTTGGTATTTAGCACTGAAATACCTTAAGTGGGTAAATTTTTGTGTTGTATCTATTTAATGAACATGCATATTGCATTCTACGTATTTAATATGACAGAGATATCCTCAAATCTGTATCAATTAAAAACCATAAAAGAAATTATTAACGCGTTTAGCAAGTCTACACAGACGAGTATAACGTTCAGGAATATCGCCGTTTAAAATTGAGGTGATGAAAAAAGGAAGACATTATTAAAATAAATTAATAAATGGCATAGCTGCCCATTTGCTTACATGAAAAAACACTCAAAAGTCAGGCTATAACCGGATAGCCATTCTTTGGCAATAGCGGTGGGGTTGTTTTTATAACTCCCTGTAGGCCGTATATTTTGGCAGTCCGGGATCGTTCTTAAGACATTTGAGGCCCTGACAGGAAATCTGACAAATTTAAGAAAAGCACGAATAGACATAAATTCAAATCTTACTGACAGTGAATATGACTATATTTTTTATTCATTTAAACACATACACAAAACAACCCCACTTCCACACAGAGCATTTGGAGATCTAGAACGTAATGGAAAATGTTGTAGAAAGAAGTTCAAAGTTTTCTGAAACTGAGTTTATCTACTAGACTGTCAAACTGAAATGATTTTTGTTCACTCTAAGTATCATATCTGGATTGTGGGTTCGAGAATACGAAGCCTGATTATCTTTTCTCTGGTTTAAAAGCCACCATTCTTCCGAACACTAGTTAGTATTTTGCCAGCCTAGAATCAGTATTCCAGCATAGAATCAGTATGCCAGCCTAGAATCAGTATGATAGTATAGAAACAGTATGCCAGCCTAGAATCAGTATGCCAGTATGAAATCAGTATGCCAGTATAGAATCAGTATGCAAGCCTATAATCAGTATGCCAGTATAGAATCAGTATGCCAGCCTAGAATTGGTAAGCCAGCCTAGAATCAGTATGCCAGTATAGAATCAATATGCCAGCCTAGAATCAGTATGCCAGCCTAGAATCAGTATGCCAGTATAGAACCAGTATGCCAGCCTAGAATCAGTATGCCAGTATAGAATCAGTATGTCAGTATAAAATCAGTATGCGAGCCTAGAATCAGTGTGCCAGTATAGAATCAGTATGCCAGCCTAGAATCAGTATGCCAGCCTAGAATCAATATGCCAGTATAGAATCATTATGCCAGTATAGAATCAGTATGCCAGTATAAAATCAGTATGCCAGCCTAGAATCATTGAACTGAATTTTTGCTTT